GACTGTAAGCAGAGGCTGCATGACTGACAGTAATTGGAAGATGGTGTCCAACAACAAACCTTTGTGTGATTCCTCCGTTTTCTTTTCATTTACGAGGCATGTTCGGAGCTGTCTTCACAACACTGTACATTCATATAAAATAGGATTTAAAAAACGTTAGACTCATAGTATGTGTGTTCACGCTGACCTTCTGCTGTGTCCACACAAATATCTTGTTCCACAGTCTGGCCTCCATGAAGCTCTCCACCTGGAAAACACAGAGAAACAGTATGAAGCCAAACTGCTCAAAGTTATGTTCAGACAGGAATCTGGCCTTTAAAACGTTTACGTTGGAAATATTACATTGCAGAGATGCATTTTCCTGTTCTGGCCACCAGAAATGATGAGAAAATGGTCATTTTAGCAGTTATTAGGGTGACTTTATTCTTTAAAAAGCCAAGGAGATGATATACAGTTATGTACAGAACAAGTTTACCTCAGTAATACAGTCCACAATATAACAACAACAATAATAATAATATCCACATGATTAATTAATAATAAGCAGCTCCAAAGTGTTTGTTAAGAATCAAAAGGTTGAACACTTTACAGCATATACGTAGTACACAGTTTGGCTGAAAGCTCAGTTTGCTTCGTGTGTGTGTGTCTGTAGTTACTTTTGACAGGTAGAAAAACGGTCCACTCTGGTGTTCAAACAGCTTCTTTCCACAGTGAAACATGAGAAGTCCAAAGTCAAAGAGAGGACCAGGAGCCTCTTTTCCCTCCACCTGAGGGACCAAAAAAACAGAGAATAACTTCATTATCTATGGAGTTTTATTCCAATTATCATTTTTGAAATCATCCAGTGGACATGTTCCTTAATTATAGTTTAAGTTCTCTCTCATTTCAATGATTGTTTGACCCATACGTCTCATTTTGTTCCCCCTTCACATTGAAGCCTTTATTATTATATTCATTTTTATTGGGCTGCAGTCTGTGTGTTGTGTGGATGTACTGGACTTGTTTCCATGTGTTACAGCAACCCCTCAGAGAAACTGGTCTAACTTTAATAAGAACTACGTCACAAAAAGCATGCAGACACCTCGTTGTGCTGTTGTGTTAATTTAATGTTAAAAATATTATTTCTGCACTCATTAATGCAAAATGACCAAATGAAAATGTGTGTTTGTTTGTTTTGTTGTGGATTCTTTTTTCTCTGTATCCGGCTCTATTCATCTTTCCCTCATTTCTGACCCGTCTACCTGTCCTGGTGCTGGTAAGCCCCGCCCCCCCACAGCATGATGCTGCTGCTGCTATGCTCCTCCACAGAATGTCATTAAGAGGTGATGAGCAGCACCTGGTGTTCGATAGCTAAGTTTGGGTTTCATCAGACAAGAAAACTTTTTAAATGCTTTTTCCAAGCTGACTGTCATTTAACTCAGAGTGGCTCCCACTGAGCAGTGAAAAGGTCCAGCTGTGTCCACATGAAATGAATCCCACCACAAAAACAAAAGTAAATACTTCCTAAAATTAATAAGATTACAGCATTTTTCTGCATTTTTTTGTAGAAAACTGTGATAGTTTTCTCACATATTGTGTTTTTATACGACCTTTTGTTAAAGTCAAAATTCTGAATCCTTTACTCAGAGAGACTTTCAATCATAAAAAACTCTTCTGACTGATTACTTGACGTCTTTGCTTTTATGGGAGAGCAGACAGAGAATGTGATGAAGAGGTCAGGGGAACAACAAGCAGTGAACAGTCCAGCTGACAGACTGGATCAGAGGATTCAGCGCTGCACCTGTGGAGTTCACACCTCATCAACTTACTCCACATGTCATCATGCTGAGGACGTCATAGACTCAGGCTTGTGATGTGCCAGTTACCCACTTTTATCACAAAGATTTATATCCAAACTTGCAATTAATAACAAAAGAGTGAAGTTAGGTTTAAAAAAAAAAAGTAAAAATGCAAGCTGACCATCATGTTGTGCTCCAGCATGTTCCATGCACGAGGACGCAGCATCAGAACCGGAGCCTGAGATATGTGTGGAGCATCTGTTAACATGTGGAGAGAGGTGGATGAACAGTGATCCTTTAGTCAAACTGAAGCAGCTGCATCGACACGTGGAAAACGCTGAAGTAAAGCACTCACCATGGAACTGGTTGCACACCGCCTTAACGACGTTGTGAAGGCCTTTGATCTGGTTGTAATATGTCGGACAGTTTCCGTCGTCGAAATCAACCTGAGGAAACAAGAAAGGATTTCTGCTGAAGCTACAGTGGCGCTACAAGCACAATGGAGGCAACAGAAAAGTAAGAAAAAGTTCTGAACAAGACCATAGTCAGGAGTCAGCAGGCCTGCCAGCATCTCTGTTGGACATATGAAGGACAACTGGACTCACAAATGAGTCCTACACACTGGAATGCAAATGATTCTCTGAGCAGATGAACCAATAAAGGTTTTCTAGTTTCCAGGTTTTGTGTTGTGTTGGACACTAGACATGTGCGTTACTGGCAGTTTCCCATTCATTCCATAGACTTTGCATTGTGATGGCTCATTTTTTATGTGCCAGGGACGTTTCATAAATATGAAACCTCCAAGAATTACAGCTCAGAACACATTAAAAAAACAACCGTGTTTACAGTTTATGATGAGGAAAAATGTTCTGTGGGCAACAAAAGTGGCTGCTGGGAAACATTGGCAGCGAACCAGAGTGATGGTTCTGTACTGGGTCCTCAGTGGCTGTGTGGTTCTTTGAGCTAAATGCTAACATGTCGACCTTTAGCATGGTGTGTACACAACATTCTGTTGCACACAAAGTTTTGCATTTGTTCAAACTGAGAAAGGCAGATGAAGAAAAGTCAACTTTATTCTTCCACTGCCCCAGAAAAGGAAAATATTTTTACATTTCCACACAAGAACCACTGCTTACAGAGAAGCTGACATATAGGGGTGTTGTACAGATTGAAAACTGCATGAAACTATCCACAAATACATTTTGATACTCAAAAGACAAGTGTAGTGCAAAAAACAACAAAATCCCAAAAAACATATAAATTCACATGTTTTTAATTTGTGTACAAAAATAGAAAAGAGGGTGGATACCAGCTAAGTCTGTCTAAGAGCAGTGAAAACAGATCTATAATTGTGGTTTAATACTTTAATAGGGCAGTGTGGATAAACGGCACCACCAGCTCCTCTTCAACAGTGTTATATATCCTGTATAATGGTAGCAGATGACAGCAGGCATAAATTCATCCACCAAGAAGGAAGTGGTTCACCGCAGGATTATGGTGATCATTCAGAACTACTTTGTATTGATTTGCAGTGACTCTTTGCTCTATGGGGACAATTGGACCCTTTAATCAGTCACCCATCTCTATATTAAGGCACTCATAACCAAACGGTAAAGGTGAGGTACCTGTAGGCCTTGTGCTGGTGACTGGAGAGCTTTAATGAAGCGCTGAGTATCGCACGGGGCGAGATCCCCAACGTCCACATGTCTCTTTTGGAGCCTCGGGGGGACGGGGAGCACCCTCCAGGCTGGGTCTCTCCTGATATGTGAGGTGCTTTCCAGGAAGTTTGGCAAGTCACCTGAGAGATCCAGATGGGCCTTTCTGGACACTCTCAACCGCAGGATCTGAAGTGGAGGCAAAAAGGGGCTTCCTGAGTCATTCTTCAATCCTTCACCGTGAAAGGGCTTTTCAGCCGTCTTACCTGATCCACCTCGTCATTAAATGTGGAGATCAGCTCACGGAGGAAGTGAAGCGAGTCTGGGGTGAAAAGTGCGGCGTACTCTGCTACCAGGCCAGAGGGAGGAGGAGACAGCTCCATGCTGACCAAACCCTGTGGACAAGAAGGTTTACGTTCTCATCATAGTCTGTGTGATTTGGGTTTATGAAGGTTGATGGTGCTAATTCCAGGAGACCTGCTGATGGAGAGAACCTGTATCAACTTCAGAAGAATTGATTCAACACTGTGGACTCATTACAAGTGAACAGACATAATGATGCTGCATATGTTCCCAGAGGAGACTCAACACTGAACTGTTTCCACATCGCTCTGGCACATAAACCTGCTTTTACTAACTCTTTGGTGACAACAGAGCAGCCTGTAAACACAACTCTGATGTATGAGCACGTTAGCAAACAGTTAATGTATCCAGAAGAGCAACGCCATGTTTTAGTTGAAGCCATGCTTACACCCAGCAAAAAGATTTAAGTTGGTCTCCACCATATGGCTCCTCAGCCATCACAATACATGTACAGCAGGTTTATCAGAGCGTTTTCACGGAGAGCAACTGCCTGCTGTTGCAAAAACACGTCTGAAACAACAGATAGTAAAGCTGCAGAGCCCAGAATGGAAGAGCCGACAGCTTCACTGAGTCGTTGTCTACGGACTTATTGTCATGAGTTTAATAAAAATTAAACATTGAAGAGAAAATGCCTTCTCTGCCTCTTTTTTCACGACCAGCTGCCAAATAAAGGCCTTAAAAAGAATCCTAAAAACATTATAATGGAGTCCTGTAGGTTGTGTTCAGGATTTATTTTGATAATTTAATTATTTGTCAGTACATAAAACAAAAAAAAAAACTACACTGTAAAGCATCATACAGGATGTTTTTGGTAATCAGTTAAATTTGGGGTAGCCGTTTTTGTTTTTTTTTTAAATAGCATCATTGGGCAAAAAATTCCTACCAAGAAGAAAGTAGACTTCTACACCTTGTCCTGGATCCACTTTCATGCCTACTAGTCGTGACTGGAGACTCATCTCACTCCCGGGATTCATTGTTCGAGGCCTTAAACGCTTCAGGCTCGACTTTTGTGTAGTTTGAAGAAATCAGAC